GCTCAGTGTTTCTAGTTCTCGGGTCTCTTGCTTTCTGATGGTCGGACCAGGGTGCAGCTGCCTTAGCCAGTTTCCTGCTTCAGCTGGCAAGGCTCAGATCCTACAAGACATCACTGAGGAGAACCCACATGGACCTACCCTGATCAGCCTTGTGGAGAGCCCTGCCAGCACTGAGATGCTTACACGCTCACTGATTTGGCTTTCCTCCTGCAGTTGGCATCATTGTGTGTGTTTTGTGAGATTGAGGAAGACTTTGTACATTAATGTTGGACATATGGGCTAATGTAGGACTTTGGGGCTTGAACAGCACTGGGTTGGGATGCTTTCTTAATGTACAACCACCCTTTATATAAAACTCTCTTACACATATGAGTTTCTGTGAATTTGTTTCCCCAGCTAACCCAGACTAACTGGGTAGAATTGGCCCTGTGAGTTTCTGGGACTGCACCAGGGTCCTTTATTTATAAAGATGGTGACAAAACAAAGCAAGAAAACACAATGGTCCTACTGTGTAACACTTGGGGTCACCATGACTCAAAATTGACTTAATGGCAATTATTTTTTTCAATCAGATGTGACAAAATAAACAAACAAAACAAACTCGAGGCCATTTAGGGTCCTGTCCAAGGTATTGACAACACCAGGCTAGGCTGCTGCCTCACTCACCAATAGGTGATGGAATCATTGTGTTTATAGCTCTACCTGAGTTGAATTCAGCCTTAGTTGAAGATGAGTATGAAAAACCTGAAACTTTTTTTTTTAATAATAAAAGAAAAGATGAAACACCATTTGCAGAAGACCTTGAGGTGTGATGTGGGCTGTTTAGACCAGGACTGGGAGACATGAAAAGGATAGGGGAAGTGAAAGAAAGCGAGGTAGAAAGTGCTGTGGACATTTTCAGGCCACCTGCCTGAGGTAGGAGGCCAATAAGAGCAAACAAAAACCAAATTCCCTGTCAAGTCAGTTCAGACTCACGGAGATCCTGTGTGAGAAGAAAGTAACAGTGAAACCTCCAGCTACGAACTGAGCATCACCCTCGATGATGGCAGTTGTTTATGAGAAAAAGCGATGACGCCCTTAGAACTATTTCATTAAAAAAACATTTTTTAAAGTAAATTTTATGTTATGACATAAAAGCACAAAACCTCAAGATGCGGAAAACTGAATATAAAGCAAAATTTCTTTTTCTTTTTTTTTTTTTTCGAGCAAAATTTCTTTTGAGTAGGTTTAAATACATGCAATTTTAAATTTAGAAAATTAAGTATTTTATTTCATTCTTTCCCTAAATGACATGAATTAATAAAAAAGGAAAAGAGTTATTCAGGGAAGGGACGCTGAAGCAAAATTTTATGGCAATTAAAAAAATTAATGTAATACTTTGCTCCATCTATTTTCAACCTATATCATCTAGTTAAGCCTTAGGAACACAGATTCAGCGAGGCCACTTCAAGTAATAGGAGATCTATCTACTACTGTAAGGGTACAGATGACAAGAATGTCTTGTAATGTAGACAGCAGTAGGTGGGCTTCATGGAGAAACCAAGAAGCATATGGAATTGGACAAATGCCCTGCATACCTAGAGACAAAGCAAAATTGTCACTCGGGGCTGTTTCTGATTACCAGTCAATGATCTCAGGTAGCCATCGCTTCCGCTTACTCATAACTCCAGTTGACTCATGGCCTCTCTGTAAGCAACACTCAATCTCTCTCTCTCTGTATGACATGATTCAGATTTAAGATCACTGGGGGGGGGGGCTCTTACAGCTCCTGTAACAATCCATATGTCAATGGTATCAAGTATACTTGTACATATGTTACCATCATTATTTTCTAAACATTTACATTCTATTGGAGCCCTTGGAATCAGCTCCTCTTTTTACCCTCTCACCCCACCATGACCCCTTTATAAATTACAAATTATTTTCATATCTTACACTGACTGCTGTTTCCCTTTCCCTGTGGTTTCTTCCCCCCTCCTCTCCCCACCTTCTCGCTACCCTCCTGGTATTGCTACTCCCATTTCTGTTCCTGAGGTATTTATCTAACCTGGAGTTCACTGTTACTTGGACTCATGTGTCCATGTTACTCTTGGAGTAACCTCTTATCTCTACCTGTGTACATGCTCCATCCTAGCCTCCAGTAACAGGCAGGATCGGGGTCATGGTAGCAGGGGGTGAGGATGCCTCAAGGAACCAGAGGAATATTTTGTGTTTTATCGGTGCTATACTTCACCCTGGTTGACTTATTCCTTCCTTGTGACCCTTCTGTGAGGGGATGTCCCATGGTCTATAGATGGGTTTTGGGTCTCTGCTCCGACCCTCCTTGTCCTCACCAATATGCTTTTGTTTGTTTGTTTGTTTTTGGTCTTCTGATGCCTGTTACCTAATCCTGTTAACACCTCATGATTCCACAGGCTGGTATGCTTCTTCCATGTGGGCTTTGCTGTTTCTCAGCTAGATGGCTGCTTGTTTATCTTAAAGCCTTTAAGACCCAGATGCTATAGCTTTTGATAGCTGGGCACCATTAGCCTTCTTCACCAGATTTGCTTATGCACTCATTTTGTCTTCAGATCATGTGAGCATCACAGAATGCCAGATTGTTAGAACAAAGTGTTCTTGCGTTGAGGGAGGGCTTGAGCAGAGGCCCAAAGTTCATCTACTTCCTCAATGTATTGCCATATAAATACATGTGCCTATGCCAATACCTCTATTTTTATGAATTAATATATTCACATATGTACACACCTATGTT